AATAATCACGAGAATACGCGAAAAGAAACAAAATTTAAGGAGTGGGGAAAATAAGCTGATCCACGCGGCGGAGGACCCCACGCGGCGGGCCCACGCTCGCGCCAGCGTACCCCCGCGTAGGCTAGCCTACGAAAGCACCGCGACCGACAAAGAGCTGATCTCGTCGCGGTGCGACGCACATAAGCTTAACTTTCTTCGCGTTAATATTTACGAGTAGCGTATAATTTCGCAGGCAAGATCGTGCGTCCTCGGAATCGTATCATCGTCGAGAAGCTTATACGTAATGTCGCTCTGGGAAAAACCTATGTCGAAAAAGGAAAGTGATAGTAGGGAGAGAATTAAGAGACAAAAAATCTTTTTTTTTCTGTTTTCAAATATAAAATCATTTTTATTTATTATTCGTTACTTAATTTAAAAAAGGGAAAAGGAAAATAAAAATATTAGGTTTTAATATTTTATTTGACATTTAAATATATTTTACTTATAAATACAATTATGAACAATGAACATATATACATTTTACATTAAACCGCTTAGTAATAAAATTAATAAAAAGTCTTTACAAAAATATTTGCATTTTATTTTATTTGCAAAACTTAGACATTGATTTTTACATTCTTCTTATATACTTAAACTATAATAGGCGTTGGTGGCGGAAAACTCGTTGATGTTCCTAACTTAAAAAATAAGAGAGAGAATCAGTTTCGAATAAGAAGAAGAAGAAGAAAACGTTATTCACTCACAAAACCATACGGAAGAGAATAACGATTATTGATAAATCTACGTTTTACCAATACCGGTGCGCATGTTTTTGTTTCATTTCGTGTTACAATCTCGTGAAACGCGGTGCGTCGGATTGCGTTAAAACATAGATTTATATTAGGCCGTGACGTTTCTTGCTCTTCTTCTTCTCCGTACCTTTCTCTCTCATTTTCTATTATTAATTTCCTAATACTATCGAAATTTATACTTAACGAGTTCTTATTAGGATCCCAGCCAAACTCAAAATCTCCAGTAGATCTCAGCCTCTTCTCATATTCAAGCCCTTTTTGGGCAAACCGGAACTGTGTGTTTATTCCTTGGTTAAGTTTTATCTGAAGCTCACGCATGATCTGCGGCAGAAGAATTGTGATGCATTCTTTATTTCTTTTCGCTTCCCACATGGTTCGGTCTCGTCTCAGACGTTAGGGCGTTGGATTAAGTCAATGCTGGGGACAGCAGGTGTTAACACCTCTATTTTTTCAGCCCACTCAACTAGACATGCCTCAACTTCTCTTGCGGCTAGCAAGGGTATTAATCTGGACGAGTTTCGTCGCACCGCCGGTTGGAGTACATCCTCAGCGGTATTCACCCAATTTTACAACCGACCACTAGTTAAGGATCCAGTTTTTCAATCCGTAATACTCAATACATAATAATCTTATGTATCTTATCACAACCGGTTGTTTTTAAGTACCTTAATCATATCTTGACATTGTTTCTTTTGACTTTAAGGAGTATGTAACTCAGAAAACTGTTCATAAGCTTACATATAAAATGTAGCTCTCTACAAATCTGGACTTTAAACATCTACATATATCCATCCGGACGAGACTTGGCATAATTGGAATCGAACTTCACGCTAAGTTCGTTCAATTATTCAATTATATATGTAAGTGATTCTACTATTGTCTGAAATATATCTCTAGAGAGAGAATATCGTATGATATGAATATTGATACAAAATACATATTAGAATAAAAATAGTTTAATTGAAATTATTATTAACTTACCGTCGTACGTGGTTGGAATAAACTTAATTTCTTTTCCGTAGTCCTTCCTACGTTCCTATACCCTGTTTTGCAACCAGACACTACACAACAAAATGGCATTGCAATATTTGTAATTTTCCTATTTGTCTTTAAAGATTCGGATTTTTCACACTTTTTTCGGAATACTTCTTCTATTAGTCGCCAGGCAATCTAGACCAGACGATCGGTTCTTCAGAACTCTTTTTCGGAATACGGTTTCTTTCCACCTTTTTTAACCGTTTTTAACTACCGTTTCTAACTACGGCGCACTCATTATGCGCAGAACTACTAAATTCGCGAGCGCTGCGAGTGTCGAGAATCGGAACTTAAACTCGAAACCTAAAATCGGTCCACTTTTATTTTACGGAGTAGAGTCTCCTTATATCTTACTTCATGGTGTCTACACTGAATGAGGTGAGAGGGGGCACCGCCCTCCCACCCCACTCTCTTGTTGAGGATGGGGGTCGGATGCGGGGCTCGAGTTACCCGCTCGAGCCCCGCACCCCCCTGCGCCAGCCCACCCGCGCGTCCCAGTGATTGCACTGGGTCGCGCCGGCGTGCCGACCATCTCCGGTCGCTGCCCACGGATGGGTCGTTGGCGGGGAGACTAGGGGGGGCTATAATAGCTCCCCGTCCCCCCCTGCCGGCGTCACCACGCACACCGTGCGGGGCGACCGCCGACCGCCCGACTCCGTTCACCTCCTCCTCTTCTCCCGGCTCCCGCCGTCACGGGAGCGGGAGCGACGCTCCCCCCGACTAGAGAGTCCTAGATTTATCAGAGAGGCGCAACCGGCTTAAGTCAGTATGACAAAGGTACTAGGGAGGGTACTAAACATGGCTGACATGCTATGAAACTGCCTTTAAACTGTCAAACAAGATAAGACAAAGTAATATAAAATTATATTTAAATGAATCATATCAATTTTTTAGA